TATTTCATATCCTGACTTCCATCCCCCTCTGGAGCCTAATCTCTGTTTCATCTTGAACTTTAAGTTTTCTCCATTTTGGGTACTTCTTGCCTTCAAGTTTTTGCATAAACTGTCCCCACTACTTGATAATCTTTCCACTTTTTCACCTTTCCTTCTAACCCCAGATTGGTTAAGTGCTCTTCCCAACTGTTTCCAAACCATTCTAATATAATGCTCAATAGACAATATATTCTGTACATGTTATTACATGTTATTGTTTTTGCTTGTTTAATTGTCTGTCTTTCCTGTTAAAGTCTAACCTCCCTGAATATAGGAATTGTGTCCGCTTTGTTTGCCACCATACCTATCATGGCCTTGGCTTGTAATTGGCACTTAATATATATTTATTGAATGAGTAAATGAATGAACCAATAAATGAACAAATGAGCTTACATAAACGTCCTGAAATCTTTAGGTAGATTCTGTTATTTCAAGGTTCTGTTCTCTAAGTAAAATTAATTGAGGGCTTCCCCCTCTAAGTGAGTGTTATTTTTGGTATGGCACCACACATTTTATTATAGGTATTTTCTTCTAAATTGTATTTCTCAGAAGCCACCGTTTTTGTAGGAGCAGTGAGTCACAAAAATGCAATTCTTGGCTCTGCTTTTCCCCAATATCCCAGCCCCCCAGCTAGCCAGACCAAACATTCCTTATTAACCATGTTTTTGATTGTGTACAGGATTTCTGTCGGATTTAGATTGTCTATCAAGATATTCAGTAATCTTCCACTCTGAAAAGTATAGCATAATTTTCCTTTTTTATAATGTTCTCTACCTTTTTGCAAACGCTTTTTTAAAAAATAGGTGTGAAAAGAGAGAGTTTGACTTCTTCTTTGCCAATCTGAATAAATTTTATTTCTTTTTGTTGTCTAACTGCTGTTGCTAGGACTTCTAGTACTATGTTGAACAATAGTGGCTAGAGTGGGCATCCTTGATGTGTTCCTGATCTTAAGGGAAAGGCTCTCAGCTTTTCCCCATTGAGGATGATATTCGCTGTGGGTTTTTCATAGTTGGATTTTATGAACTTGTGGAATGTTCCCTCTATCCCTATACTCTGAAGAGTTTTAATCAGGAAAGGATGTTGGATTTTGTCAAATGCTTTTTCTGCATCTATTGAGAGGACCATATGGTTCTTCTCCCTCCTCTTATTAATGTGTTCTATCAGACTGATTGATTTGCGAATGTTGAACCACCCTTGCATCCCGGGTATAAATCCCACTTGGTCGTGGTGGATGATCCTTTTAATGTATTGTTGGATCCTATTAGCTAGGATTTTGTTGACGATTTTGGAATCCATATTCATCAGTGATATATGACATGAAACTTTATGTGGAAAACCCAAAAGACTCCACCCCCAAATTACTAGAACTCATCCAGCAATTCAGTAATGTGGCAGGATACAAAATCAATGCACAGGAATCAGTTGCTTTCTTATACACTAACAATGCAACTGTAGAAAGAGAAATTAGAGAAACAATTCCATTTATAATACCACCAAAAACCATAAGATACCTTGGAATAAACCTAACCAAAGAGGTAAAGGATCTATACTCTAGGAACTACAGAACACTCATGAAAGAAGTTGAATAAGATACAAAAGATGGAAAAATATTCCATGCTCATGGATGGGAAGAATAAACATTGTTAAAATGTCTATGGTGCCCAGAGCAATCTATACCTTCAATGCCGTCCCGATCAAAATTCCAATGACATTTTTCAAAATGCTGAAACAAATAATCCTAAAATTTGTATGGAATCAGAAAAGACCCCAAATCACCAAGGAAATGTTGAAAAAGAAAAAGCTGGGGGCATCACGTTGCCCGATTTCAAGCTATATTACAAAACTGTGATCACCAAGACAGCATGGTACTGGCACAAAAACAGACATATAGACCAATGGAACAGAGAACCCAGATATGGACCCTCAACTCTATGGTCAAATAATCTTTGACAAAGCAGGAAAAAACATGCAATGGAAAAAAGACAGTCTCTTCAATAAATGGTGCAGGGAAAATTGGACAGCCACAGGCAGAAGAATGAAACTCAACCATTCTCTAACACCATTTACAAAGATAAACTCTAAATGGATGAAAGACCTCAATGTAAGACAGGAATCCACCAAAATCCTAGAGGAGAACATAGGCAGTAACCTCTTTGACATCGGCCACAGCAACTTCTTTCAAGATACATCTCCAAAAGCTAGTGAAGCAAAAGCAAAAATGAACTTTTGGGACTTCATCAAGATAAAAATCTTCTGCACAGCCAAGGAAACAGTCAACAAAACAAAGAGGCAACCCACAGAATGGGAGAAGATATTTGCAAATGACACTACAGATAAAGGGCTGGTATCCAAGATCTATAAAGAACTTCTCAAACTCAACCCCCGAAAAACAAATAATCAAGTCAAAAAGTGGGCAGAAGAGACGAACAGACACTTCTCTGAAGAAGACATACAAATGGCTAACAGACACATGAAAAAATGTTCATCACTAGCCATCAGGGAAATCCAAATCAAAACCACATTGAGATACCACCTTATACCAGTTAGAATGGCAAAAATGGACAGGGAAAGAAACAACAAATGTTGGAGAGGTTGTGGAGAAAGGGGAACCCTCTTACACTGTTGGTGGGAATGCAAGTTGGTACAGCCACTTTGGAAAACAGTGTAGAGGTGCCTCAAAAATTTAAAATTAGAGCTCCCTATGACCCAGCAATTGCACTACTGGTGATTTACCCCAAAGACACAGATGTAGTGAAAAGAAGGGCCATATGTACCCCAATGTTCATAGCAGCAATGTCTGCAATAGCCAAACTGTGGAAAGAGCCAAGATGCCCTTCAACAGATGAATGGATAAAGAAGATGTGGTCCATATATACAATGGAATATTACTCAGCCATCAGAAAAGATGAATACCCAACTTTTGCATCAACATGGATGGGATTGGAGGAGATTATGCTAAGTGAAATAAGTCAAGCAGAGAAAGTCAATTATCACATGGTTTCACTTATTTGTGGAACATAAGGAATAGCATAGAGGACATTAGGAGAAGGAAGGGAAAAATGGGGGCGGGGAATTGGAGGGAGAGATGAACTATGAGAGACTATGGACTCTGAGAAACAAACAGGGTTTTAGAGGGGAGGGGGGAGGGAGGAGGGGTTAGCCCAGTGATGGGTATTAAGGAGGGCACGTACTGCATGGAGCATTGGGTGTTATATGAAAACAATGGATCGTGGATCACCACATCAAAAACTAATGATGTATGGTGACTAACATAACATAATAAAATTAAAAAAAAAAATAGGTGCTATTTCTCTCTCCATATATATACCAAATATATATGAACAATACAGGTGAAACCTAATAAGATAGACTCTTATTTATTCTGCCATTGTTTCTTATATCTTTTATTCTATTTTAACATGTAGTTTCAAAGCTTTTAGGAAAAACTATACTACTATTCAGTCAATTCAAAGTATCAGAGAGGAGTATTAGGGTCCCCTTCTCAAATAGCTCAAAATCTGGTGAGGACTTAGAAATAAACAAACTGTTGTCTACTCTATGATCAATAAAGTCATGTCCAGGCACTCAGTGGGGGTTGGAGTCTGCAATTCTGTGTACATTATACCTAGTTGTTAAACACTCTTCTAAGTTAGGCATTAATAGTCTTACTTTATAAATAAAGATAATGAATCACAGGACAGTAGTGTTTTCAAGATCACATAACTAATAAGTGGCAGAACCAAAATCTAGGCCAGTCAGAATTTTAAGCCTATGTCTTTTTATGTGCACCACATTGGTCTCCTAAGAGTAGGGAGGGAAGAAAATTAAGGAGTCAAGAATGAACCACAGTTTTCTAGCTAGGTAGACTGGGTAGCAGGTGGTGGAATCCGTATTCTGAGTCCAGGTATGCAGTTAGTCAGACAAGTTTGGAGGAAAACATGGTATGTGGAGAAATTTGAAGATTAGTGTTTGATGCCTGTAGGCTGTTAAGTTCAGCTACTGCAGGCAACGGAAATGAGACTTTGGAGCACAACTACAGGCTTGGGTTGGAGATGAAGGTGTGAACACCATAGTACCTATATAGTGGTTGAAACTTTGGGTATGTATTGAATCACCCAGGAGGAGTATGCAGATTGAGAAGAGACTTAAATGTCCATCTTCAATTTGTTGGTCTCTAGATTTCTCTTGTAGATCTTATATAAAAATCTCATGCATGTATCAGGGCTTAATTAAACTTGGACTTATTCACTGAATAAATATTGATAAAATTACTGAGTATCAATTTTATGTTCAACAGTGGGTTAGGCTCTATAGGGAATAGAAAGGAAGAAGATAAATTTCCCCTCTCTAGGATCCTGCAGTCTGGCTGGCAAGTCAGAGTGTATCTACTAGAAGTCATAATGTACAATCTAGAGTGTGGACAGGACCAGCATGCTTTATGTTTGTGGGTATGTTTCAGGGAACCCTTGGGCATCTCATAATAAATAATCATAAGACATCCAAAAGTTATGATATAAACATCATTGATATAAGCTCCTCCCAGTTTACTACTTCTGTTTCTGTTCTTCTTTTTGGAAGCTATTCATCACTTAACAAATAATAAAAACTCCTTTCTTGAACATGTTATCCTTTAAGCCCATTCCTTTAATGCTAAAGAATGCAAGTGGACCTCAGGAAGGCTGGAACTTAGAATTAGAAAGCTGTAGGGAGAGCCATGGATGACCTCACTCCATTCCCATTCCTGCTTCTCACTGCAGGTCTGATTCATCTTCTCTCTGCTGACGCTCTCTCTGCTCCTAAAGCTGCCTGAAAAAATATGACCACCCAGAGTAGAATACGATTACTAAGCATTTTCTTAGCCTTGAGTTCCTCTTGGTTTTCCTTTCTCAACACTGTGCATGTATTATTTTTAATCCTTACAACAACCATTCAAGACTGAAATTACTCTTTCTACATTATAGATGAGGAGACTGAAGCTGAGAGAGACTATGGCCTGCTAAGTCACTGTCAGCTGCTGGGGATGCAGAAATGAAAACCCAAGGCCTCTGCCTTCATGGACTTCATAGTACAACGGCGAAGCAGATATTTATCATTATAGGTATAGACATCAATTAGTTATTACAAAATTCTGTAAGAAGCACTGTAATAGATGTGTAAACACTGAATTGTAACACAAAGGATGATGCCTGGAGAAGTACAGAGAGCACTGTAGAAAGGACATTTGAACCAACTTGGAAGAATGTGCAGCTCTCCAGATACAAAAAGGGGGGGAATGACATTTCAGGTTTTAGAGGCACAGAGTATTTATTATTTATAGGAAAAGCAGTGCTGTCCATGTTTCCCTTTGAACCCATGGCTCACCTTCTGAACTGGCAGCCAAGCTCAGATGTGCTTTACGTGAGCTTGGCTATAGGCCCTGCTGAAATGGTTCAAAATAATCTGATTTCCAGTAAGCCAGAGAAAAAAACACTTGAGACCAATATTTGTTATAAAAATTCAGTCTTGGGGGGCGGAGCAAGATGGCAGAGGAGTAGGAGACCTGGATTTCGTCTGGTCTCAGGAATTCAGCTGGATAGGGATCAAACCATTCTGAACACCTACGAACTCAACAGGAGATCAAAGAAAAGAATAGCACCAACTCTCTGAACAGAAAAGCGACCACTTTCTGGAAGGTAGGACTTGCGGAGAAGTGAATCCGAGGCGATATTCGGGAAGTTAGAAGGCGGGGGGGAGGGGGCCTCTGTCAGCCGCTACTGGCAAGTGATAGAGCAGTGGAGCTCGAAATCGGAACTTTTAGAAGTCTGCTCCGCTGAGGGACGTCACTCCAGTGGCTAAGCGGGGGGTGAAACCCTCCCATGTGGTTCAGGACCCTCAGGGTTACAGAAAGACCGGGGGTGCCTGAGTGTGGCAGAGCTCCCAGGGATCAGAGTGGGGAAGCCGGCTGCAGAGATGGAGCTGAGGAGCGGGCTCTTAGCTCTGTGTTGCCATAAACCATGATCCAAGGCACAGTCGGGCCACTGTTCTTCCAGCAGGGACCCAACAAGCAGCAGATCTGGGGAGACTCCCCTTCCTCCCCTAGAGGAGCAGTGCAGGAGCACACCACAGGGATCTGCTGGGTTTGGAGACTCCACACAGGGTCGGGTGCCAGAGACAGAAACGCTCGGTCACAGGCCAGATGAGCATGGAGTGCGGCCGGAGACCAGGGAGACAGGAGTGATTGACTGCTTTTCTCTGGGGGACGCACTGAGGAGTGGGGCCCCGAGTTCTCAGCTCCTCCGGGACCAGAGATTGGGAGGCCGCCATTTCACTCTCATCCTCCAAAGCTGTACGAAAAGCTTGCAAGGAACAAAAGCTCCTGAGAGCAAACCTGAGCAGATGACTTAGCCTGGCCCCGGCAAGGGCGGGGCAATTCCACCTCTGGCAAAGACATCTGAGAACCACTGCAACAGGCCCCTCCCCCAGAAGATCAGCAAGAACAGCCAGCCAAGACCAAGTTTACTGATCAATGAGAATGGCAGAACTCCAGCACTAAGGGAATACTGCACATAGAATTCATGGCTTTTTTCCCATGATTCTTTAGTCTTTCAAAGTTAATTTTTTTTAAACTTTCTTTTTCTTTCTTTTTTTTCTTGAATTTTTCTTTTTCCCTTTTTTAACCAACATCTTGTCAATCCCTTTTTTTTTAAAAATCTTTTTTATTTTTCATTTTTAGAGTCATATTCTATCCCATCACAGTAGTTAACCTTATTTTTGGTATATATATATAAGTTGTTCTGTCTTTAAAATTTTGGGATACAGTTTCTTCTAACAGACCAAAATATACCCTAAATCTCTAGTGTATGGCTTTGTTCTAGTCTCCTGCCTGATCATATTCTCTCCCTTTTTTTTTAATCCTCTTCTTTCTTTTTTCAACCAACTTTTTATCAATTCCTTTTATAAAATCTTTTATAATTTTCATCTTTACAGTCATATTCCATCCCTTCATCATATTTACCCTTATTTTTGTACATATATGTTTTTCTTTCTTAAAAATTTTGGGAGGTGCTTTCTTCTGACACACCAAAATACACCCAAAATCTAGTATGTGGCACTGATCTATGCACCAGCCTGATCATATTTGATCATATTCTGTTTTTTGTTTGTTTGTTTTTATCTTTTTCTTTTTTTTTTTTTCTTTTTTCTTTCTTTCCCTTTCGTTTCCCCCAGTTTCAGGTCTCCTCTGATTTATTAGTGTATATTCTGGGGGGTGGGGGGGGGTCGTTGTTACCCTGTTAGTATTTTGTTCTCTCATTCATCTCTTCTCCTCTGTACAAAATGACAAGACAGAAAAAACCACCTCAAAGAAAAGAACAAGAGGCAGTACCGACTGCCACGGACATAATCAATATGGACATTAGTAAGATGTCGGAACTAGACTTCAGAATGATGATTTTAAAGATACTAGCTGGGCTTGAAAAAAGCATAGAAGATACTAGAGAATCCCTTTCTGGAAAAATAAAACAGCTAAAATCTAACCAAGTTGAAATAAAAAAAGCTATTAATGAGGTGCAATAAAAAATGGAGGCTCTAACTGCTAGGATAAATGAGGCAGAAGAGAGAATTGGTGATATAGAAGACCAAATGAGGGAGAATAAAAAAGCTGAGAAAAAGAGAGATAAAAAACTACTGGATCACGAGGGCAGAATTCGAGAGATAAGTGATACCATAAGATGAAACCATATTAGAATAATTGGGATCCCAGAAGAAGAAGAAAGAGAGAGGGGGGCAGAAGGTACATTGGAGCAAATTATAGCAGAGAACTTCCCTAATCTGGGGAAGGAAACAGGCATCAAAACCCAGGAGGCACAGAACCCCCTCAAAATCAATAAAAATAGGTCAACACCCCGACATCTAATAGTAAAACTTATGAGTCTCATAGACAAAGAGAAAATCCTGAAAGCAGCTCGAGAGAAGAAATCTGTAACCTACAAGGGTAGAAACATTAGACTGACAACAGACCTAACCACAGAGACCTGGCAGGCCAGAAAGGACTGGCATGATATATTCAGAGCACTAACTGAGAAAAATATGCAGCAAAGAATACTATATCCAGCTAAGCTGTCATTGAAAATAGAAGGAGAGATAAAAAACTTCCAGGACAAACAAAAACTAAAGGAATTTGCAAACACAAAACCAGCCCTACAGGAAATCTTGAAACAGGTCCTCTAAGCAAAGAGAGAGCCTAAAAGTAACATAGACCAGAATAGAACACAGACAATATACAGTAACAGTCACCCTACAGGCAATACAATGGCACTAAATTCCTATCTTTCAATAGTTACCCTGAATGTAAATGGGCTAAATGCCCCAATCAAAAGACACAAGGTATCAGATTGGATAAAAAAACAAGACCCATCGATATGCTGTCTGCAAGAGACTCATTTTAGAACCAAAGACACCCCCAGATTGAAAGTGAGGGGGTGGAAAACCATTTACCATGCTAATGGACACCAAAAGAAAGCTGGGGTGGCAATCCTTATATCAGACAAACTAGATTTTAAACCAAAGACTATAATAAGAGATAAGGAAGGACACTGTATCATACTTAAAGGGTCTATCCAACAAGAAGATCTAACAATTGTAAATATCTATGCCCCTAACATGGGAGCAGCCAATTATATAAGCCAATTAATAACAAAAGCAAAGAAACACATCGAGAACAATACAATAATAGTGGGCGACTTTAACACCCCCCTCACTGAAATGGACAGATCATCTAAGGAAAAGATCAACAAGGAAGTAAAGACTTTAAGTGACACACTGGACCAAATGGACTTCACAGATATATTCAGAACATTCCATCCCAAAGCAACAGAATACACATTCTTCTCTAGTGCCCATGGAACATTCTCCAGAATAGATCACATCCTAGGTCACAAATCAGGTCTTAACTGGTACCAAAAGATTGGGATCATTCCCTGCATATTTTCAGACCACAATGCTTTGAAGCTAGAACTCAATCACAAGAGGAAAGTTGGAAGAACTCAAATACATGGAGGCTAAAGAGCATCCTACTAAAGAAAGAATGGGTCAACCAGGAAATTAAAGAAGAATTTAAAAAATTCATGGAAACAAATGAAAATGAAAACACAACTGTTCAAAATCTTTGGGATGCAGCAAAGGCGGTCCTAAGAAGAAAGGATATAGCAATACAAGTCTTTCTCAAGAAACAAGAAAGGTCTCATATACACAACCTAACCCTACACCTAAAGGAGCTGGAGAAAGAACAGCAAGTAAAGCCTAAACCCAGCAGGAGAAGAGAAATAGTAAAGATCACAGCAGAAATCAATGAAATAGAAACCAAGAAAACAATAGAACAGATCAACGAAACTAGGAGCTGGTTCTTTGAAAGAATTAACAAGATTGATAAACCCCTGGCCAGACTTATCAAAAAGAAAAGAGAAATGACCCAAATAAATAAAATCATGAATGAAAGAGGAGAGATCACAACTAACACCAAAGAAGTACAAACAATTATTAGAACATATTATGAGCAAATATATGCCAGCAAATTAGATAATTTGGAAGAAATGGATGCATTCCTAGAGATGTATCAACTACCAAAACTGAACCAGGAAGAAATAGAAAACCTGAACAGACCTATAACCACTAAGGAAATTGAAGCAGTCATCAAAAACCTCCCAACAAACAAAAGCCCAGGGCCAGATGGCTTCCCAGGGGAATTCTACCAAACATTTAAAGAAGATTACCTATTCTTCTGAAACTGTTCCAAAAAATAGAAATGGAAGGAAAACTTCCAGACTCGTTTTATGAGGCCACCATTACCTTGATCCCCAAACCAGACAAAGACCCCATCAAAAGGTTACAAACCAATATCCTTGATGAACATGGATGCAAAAATTCTCACCAAAATACTAGCCAGTAGGATCCAACAGTACATTAAAAGGATTATTCACCACGACCAAGTGGGATTTATCCCTGGGTTGCAAGGTTGGTTCAACATCCGCAAATCAATCAATGTGATACAATACATTAATAAAAGAAAGAACAAGAACCATATGATCCTCTCAGTAGATGCAGAAAAAGCATTTGACAAAGTACAGCATCCTTTCTTGATCAAAACTCCTCAGAGTATAGGGATAGAGGGTACATACCTCAATATCATAAAAGCCATCTATGAAAAACCCACAGCGTATATCATTCTCAATGGGGAAAAACTGAGAGCTTTTCCCCTAAGGTCAGGAACTTGGCAGGGATGTCCTCTATCACCACTGCTATTCAACATAGTATTAGAAGTCCTAGCCACAGCAATCAGACAACAAAAAGAAATAAAAGGCATCCAAATCAGCAAAAAAGAAGTCAAACTCTCACTCTTTGCAGATGATATGATACTTTATGTGGAAAACCCAAATACTCCACCTCAAAACTGCTAGAACTCATACAGGAATTCAGTAAAGTGGCAGGATATAAAATCAATGCACAGAAATCAGGAAGGGCAAGGGAAGCAAGGGCAAAAATGAACTATTGGGACTTCATCAAGATAAAAACCTTCTGCACAGCAAATGAAACAGTCAACAAAACCAAAAGAAAACCAACCAAATGGGAGAAAATATTTGCAAATGACATATCAGATAAAGGGCTAGTATCCAAAATCTATAAAGAACTTATTAAACTCAACACCCAAAGAACAAATGATCCAATCAAGAAATGGGCAGAAGACATGAACAGACATTTTTCCAAAGAAGACATCCAAATGGCCAACAGACACATGAAAAAGTGCTCAACATCACTCGGCCTCAGGGAAATCCAAATCAAAACCTCAATGAGATACCACCTCACACCAGTCAGAATGGCTAAAATTAACAAGTCAGGAAATGACAGATGTTGGCGGGGATGCGGGGAAAGGGGAACCCTCCTACACTATTGGTGGGAATGCAAGCTGGTGCAACCACTCTGGAAAACAGTATGGAGATTCCTCAAAAAGTTGAAAATAGAGCTGCCCTATGACCCAGCAATTGCACTAGTGGGTATTTACCCCAAAGATATAAATATAGGGATCCAAAAGGGTATGTGCACCCCGATGTTTATAGCAGCAGTGTCCATAATAGCCAAACTATGGAAAGAGCCAAGATGTCCTCAACAGATGAATGGATAAAGAAGATGTGGTAGATATATACAATGGAATATTATGCAGCCATCAAAAGGAATGAAATCTTGCCATTTGCAATGACATGGATGGAACTGGAGGGTATTATGCTGAGCAAAATAAGTCAATCAGAGAAAGACATGTATCATATGACCTCACTGATATGAGGAATTCTTAATCTCAGGAAACAGACTGAGGGTTGCTGGAGTGGTGGGGGGTGGGAGGGATGGGGTGGCTGGGTGATAGACATTGGGGAGGGTATGTGTTATGGTGATGCTGTGAATTGTGTAAGACTGTTGAATCACAGACCTATACCTCTGAAACAAATAATACATTATATGTTAAAAAAAAAAAAGAAGAAGAAGAAGAAGGAGAAGGAGAAGAAGAAGATAGCAGGAACGGGAAATTGAAGTGGGGGGAATTGGAGGGGGAGATGAACCATGAGAGACTATGGACCCTGAGAAACAAACTGAGGGTTCTAGAGGGGAGGGGTGTGGGGGGATGGGTTAGCCTGGTGATGGGTATTAAAGAGGGCACGTATTACATGGAGTACTGCGTGTTATATGCAAACAATGAACCATGGAACACTACATCAAAAACTAATGATGTAATGTATGGTGATTAACATAACATAATAAAAAAAATTTATTTTGGCAAAAAAAAAAAATTCAGTCTCTTACTTCTTTAGTTTTCTCTCTCTCTTTTTCTCTTCCCTGTACCCTGCCCCAACCACAATATAAATCAGCACAGACAACAATGTGGGATTTGACAGTAATTGCTATTAGTTTTGAATAATGAATACATACCAAGACTTGGGCATTACAAAAGTTGTTGTATTGTACATTATACTTTTTTTAGGATATCCTTAGGTATATTTGTGTTTTCTCTATCTTACAGCCTATCTCATACCGGTCTGCATAGAACTTTTGGAATATCCCACCAATAAGATGACTGTGTTCTGTACAGACTTATTTGGTAAGGTATGGGTTACAGAGTCTTGCATATGTCTCTTCAGAAATAAGGCTGAAATGTAGGTGCTACCTATACACAAAACAGCTCAAGACTGTCTCTAACTTGCTATAAATGAAGAAAAGTACTGATTTTCACTACTTATAAGGTGCATTTTCTCATAGCTAAGTATATCCTCAGAGATGTTTAAATAAAAAGTTTTCCTTAAGTCATAAGAAATCTTAATAAGCAAGAAACATTTATTACATAAAACATTATATTTAAGTTTCCATAGAATTGTACCTGAAACTTTATAAACTCAATCTATTCCTTAAGCTCTGAAGAAGATGGGTGGGTATTTCTATAGAATGCTCTTTCAGCTTAGCATTTGTCAGCAGGACAATTCAACTTGAATGTCTTTTCCACATGGCATTGTTATCAGAAATAGCCCTATCTTTTTTGAACCCCAGGTCTTGCTGCTTCAGGACATAAAAAGTATTTCATGCACTAAACTACCTCATTTTATCTATTGTAACTAAAAATCAACTAGTCCAGAGGGACTCAGGTAAACGCGAGCACAAATGTATTTAATATGTTGCCCCACTAACCTTCAGCACCAATGGAGACTATATACAATGATGGCATATACATTTTTTAAACATTTTTTTGTCCAGGTAATTTTATGTATATGTAATAAAAAAGTGAAAAAATATATATGGTAAGGTGAGAGTAAGTCTTCTTCCCATTACCCCCAGCCATATAGCACCATCTCCAGAGGCAATTACCATATCCAAACTTTCTCTATCCTACCAGAGATATTATGCACATGTGTGAGTTTATGTACATGACCATTGCTTTGACACAAATGGTGGCAAATAATATACAGTGTTTTGCATCTTGCTTTTTCATTTAATATATCTTGGAGTTGTTGCATATCAGCTCATGTAGATCTGCCTCATTCCACTTAATTGCTGCTTAGGATTCCATTATTTCATTGCACTGTAATTTATTTACCAGATCTCTATTAATGGAAGTTCATGTTATCTCCAGCTTTTTGCTAATACAGACAAAATGCTCTGGTGAATAAACTTTGAGTATGTATGGGAATATTTGTCAGATAAATTTCTGGAAGCAGAATTGCTGGGTTAAAGACAGGGAATGTACAAAAAGGCATTTTTGAGTAAAATCTCAGAAATGATCAGAGATTTTGTTCCTTAGCTTAGCTCTATGTCTGTCTTTCTTCGTTCTGTCTCTTTCCTAGGGATTCCTTAGCTGAGACTATAGTACATCTCATTCTACTTTATTTCTAGTACAATGAATTCTTTTGTCTTTTTATTCTATCTGTTCCATCAACCATCAAATCTGGATCAACCAAAAAACATCTGCCTTCTTCGCTACTACACCTAGACTGCTAACTGTTTGGGGGAGACACATGTAATTTGGCTCTATTAGAAACTTATGTTTTCTAAGATCATTTAGAGACTCCATTATACTCAGAAATCCTTTTACCTACACCTATCTTATTGTCCTACTTTCAGTATTGGCCATTCCACTAGCTGACTATATTTATAACTTTCTATCTTACTTGTACCACTACAGGAAATTGCTTGGTTTCCCACTTCTTAGAGAAACACAGTTCACTAGCTAAGAACCCCCTTAATTCCTCTTTTAACACTCAAAATTTCTACTTGAAATTCTCAGTGATCTCAAAACAAGAGTTTCCCTTTCACTATCCAGTGCTAATCTTGCAATGTACTCCTTATTCCCACTACCTCTCTACTGATTTTTTGTACTCTCTTGTATAAATAAATTCTTAAAAATCCACTCTCTACCCTTTATTCTCCTCCAGCTATTGCTTCCCATTTCTTCGCAAATATCATTCTTAAGAGAACAGGCCAAAGAATAGATATTGGTACCACTGTTTAAATTCCTATTCACTGAAGAATAGGTCCTGCCTCTACCACAACACCAAAACTACTGTTGCTATGATCTCCAGAAAGTGTCAAATTTCTAAGACTTTTGAGCAGTCTTGGGCATCATCATACTTGAATTTCCTCCCTTGATTTGCCTTGAACCCCAACCCCTCCAGCAAAATTTCTGTTGTTTTTATTATAATTTATCTTTTTGTTTTCCTTTCCTTTTTAAAAGTAAACTATTCTGATTTCTTTCTGACTTTAGGTCTTTAGGTCTATGTTCCCTAGGATTAAGTTCTCGTCAAGCTTTTCTTCTCACTTTTTTTTTGTTTGTTTCCTGTTATTATGGCATGAAGTCTAAATTCTTCACTCTAATTTTTTTAATTGAAGTATACTTGACACACAATGTTACATTAGGTTTAGGTGTACAGCATAGTGATTTCACAACTCTATACATTTTGCTATGCTCACAAGTGTTGCTACCATCTGTCACTGTACAACACTACATTACAATATCATTGACTATATTCCTTATGCTGTACCTGTCATCCCCAAGAGTTATTCATTCCATAACTGGAAGCTTGTACCTCCTACTCTCCTCTGCCCATTTTGCCTATTCTTCCAACCACTCTCATGTGGCAACCACCAGTTTGTTCTCTGTATTAATGGGTCTGTTTTTGCTTTTTTTATTTGCTTTGTCTTTTTTTTTTTTTAGGTTTTTTTTTTTTTTTAAGAGAGAGAGAGGGTGAGCATGAGCAAGCATGAGCAAGGTGGGATGGGCAGAGGGAGAAGCAGACTCCCTGATGAGCAGGGAGCCCAACGCAGGGTTCCATCCCAGGACCCCGAGATCATGACCTGAATCAAAGGCAGACACTTAACTGACTGAGCCACCCAGACGCCCCTGCTTTGTCTTTTAGATTACACATATAAGTGAAATCATATGGTATTTGTCTTTCTTTGTCTGACTTATTTTACTTAGCATGATGCCCTCTTAAGTTCATCAATGTTGTCACAAATGACAAGATCTCATTCTTTTTTATGGTTGAGTAATATTCCATCATATATATATGTTTATATATACACACCACATCTTCTTTATCCATGGGTCTATTGATGGACACTTATGTTGCTTCCATACCTTGACTATTGTAAACAATGCTGCAGTAAACATAGGAATGCATATATATTTTCAAATGAGTGTTTTCATTTTCTTTGGGTAAATACCAGTGGTGATCCTTTATTTTAAAAAACCTTGTCCCTTACTTTTTAGCTTCCTGATTCAATCATCTTCCTCTGCACTGAGCCAATGGCTAAGATGATGATGATCATAACAAAGTGAAGGAGGAGGAAGACTTAACCTGAGTAATAGCATATTTCAAGGTACAGAGGTTCTTCTTTTTTTTTTTTTTGTGGATGTTGTCATGAGGAATGTGAATTTTGGAAACACTGAACATATTCATTAAGTAGAGATAGAGAAAAGTTGTTGCTTCTGTATCCCATACTATGAAAGGAACATGTGGTCACCAAATGTAATGAAGTAGAACTCCAGGTTTTCACTGTTTTCAACTTTTGAACCTGTCTTTTGTCCCCAACCACCAGGTCCCTTTTGCATGTTACCCCCTCCCAGAATACACCCCACACCATTTCCAAGATGATGTTTTTAGACTCATGGCTGTATCTTCTTTTCTTTAGTCTTAGCCATTTGAAACAGAACTCCAATTTATAAAAGTTGTGAAGTATTTGGGGGTAATAATAGTGTCAGTTATTTTTTGTCTGTTCAGCTTTCTCAAACTTGAAGAAAATAAGCAATTTTGTGAAAATATGTAAATATGTATTATCTTCACCAGCTACTGCTTGACTTTCCTCTTCAGTCATTCTGGAACTCTGGGTCCAGTTCAAGCTCCTTTCCTGCTGGGCCTGTGTATATCCCCAGCTTTGGTCTCACATGCTGTAGACCATGTGCCCAGCTCCACTATTCCCTTTGCCAGATGCAGCCAGTTTTATAAATGAAATTATACATTTGAACCAGATGAGTTTGGCTTGGTGATTGGCCCTGTACATAGTCTACAATTTGGGTCAGACTTATGAACAGTTTGGTGAATTTGGCATCATATTTGGGGAAGTGTGGATTGTCTTAAAACTCCAGAGAGAAAGCTTTAGGATCTCAGACATTCCATCTTTTGTGGGCTTCCAGAAAAGGCCACCCTCAGCTGGCATGGAAGAGAGGGCTTATTTTCAAACTATTCAAGTCATGTTGTGACTAGAATTTGAAGTCTGGTACAAAACCATGAAAACTGAAGAGATAATTTGCACTGATCCTGGAATAAGCAGCTTCACTCTACTGTATAGTGACTCTGGTGTAGATGGTCCAGGAAGATATTTCTATCACCGAACCATAATTTTATGAAAGAGTTTACTTAAGCTATTTGTATTCCTTAGAATAAATGTCATTTCTAAAATGCGAGAAAAAATAAGTCCAAGTGAGTTAGTTGAGGGAAGACACTGGCCTGATCCCTTGTATCAATTAAAAGAGATTGGTAGGTTCCAAGGTATAGGATACCTCTGTGCTGCTGCTTGTTGGCTTTGGGAGGAATGAGACTTCAATTAGGATCTCAGTGCTAAGGCCTGAGAAATTTTCCATCCCACATTTTTAAAGAATCATAAAACAGCTTGAAAGAAAGCCTCACTCACTCACCCGGAAACCTCCACTGAAAATAAATAATTGAAACCATAGCTGAGCATGATTAATGAAGATACATTATAATAATTTATTATACTGTTTTTGGAGTGCTGTTTTTCCTCTATTTTTTCTCATCCGTCTCCTATATTACCTCTACTACTACTCTGGAGACTGAGCAAAATGCAGATGTTAAGAACATAAAGATATCAAAAAGTTAGTTTTGGCTGAGTTAGCAGTGACCACATTACAGATCTCAGATTTTCCCTCCCTTCATGTGGCTTTTTTGTAGGCTGGACAATAAATTTACTAGTATGAAGTTAATTCATATATGATCCAAACATGCTGCATTGGATAAAAGGGAGTAACTGTGGATAGGTCTGCAGGGAACTTCTAGATCAGACTCAAGTATGGATGGAGGGACCCTCAAATTTAGACGAAACTTTTCAAATCTGGCAAATGCTTTGCTAAAGACATTTGTAAAATTCTTAAAACAAATAAGAGAAAGTCCTCCTTGTGCCTAATTACCACATACATTTTCATAGAGGAAGTCTTATAAAGTAATTACAGTTCATTAATGCTGGTTCTATTCACCTGACTATATCTCTACCTTTTGGTTATGGTATTGCCTTTTTAACATTAAAGAACCTTCTAATTGCACCACCTACCCCTTGCATTTATAAAGCCTTGATGTTTAAAAGTGTTTAATTTCATACAGATGATCTAAATTCATCCTAAAATTGTGCTAAAATGGTGTTTCTTATTTAGATTGTTAAAGTTCTTGTCTAGCAAAGAAGGGCTCCTGTAGTTTTTTTATCTCAAAAGAGTATATTTAGAGCAATGATTCTGAACCTTGGCTTCACATTAGAATCATCTGAGGAGCTTTAAAATATTCTGATGTTCAGGCTGTACCCCAGACCACTTAAATCAGAATTTTAGGACATGGTACCATAGTACTTTCCCTAGATGATTTCAATGTGTAGAAATCATCCCTAGATAATTTCAAGGTTGAGACTACTGATTTAGAAAGGTAGCACATTGTGATGAAACCAGTTCCTTGGTTGGCATTCCATTTCCAGCACTAAATTCACTCATTCAAAAATATTTGAACATCTAATAAAAAAACAAAATTCCTAATATACACTGGTACATTCAATATATGGGTGGAATTGTTATAGTAATGATAATATCTATTAATAAAAGTATTTTATGAATGGCATTATACACATATAGAAAACAGATATATTAGTTTAATTAGATTGCATTTTAAGTGCCTTGCTATGCTTCACAGTTAAATTATGTATGCTGCATTCATAAGGATGACAAAACCAAATAGACATATCTCACCCACCTTTGAGCAGGTTTTTACCTTGTACTTCCCTTAAAGTGACTATTTTAATTTTACTTTGGATTATATACATATTATCTTTAGCAATGCAGGGAAAAATTTATTCTTTGTTACATGCTAAACTCTAAGCTTCTTGAAAATAGAAAATGTTTTCTTACTCATGCTGGCCTCCTTCTCTTAGCATGGTGCATCACTCTCCATGATGCTAGCATGTAACCTGTTTTCTATAGCCAATGTTATAAATAGGTTGCATTATATTGGTTTGGCCATATTGGGGAGGTGATTAAAGGTAGGATATTGGATGAATTATAAATTGTACATCCATTTGGCTGTGTGTGTGTGTGTGTGTGTGTGTGTTTGGAAAGAGATTTTCTATTAAAAGAAACTGTGCTTAGCTTAGTTTGTTCCTTGGCTCATGGTCTCTTGCAGTAGGCATTTTCCTTAGGGTTGTCAGAAGACTGATCTTGTGGGTGGTCTGCCATACTGAATTTGGGAACTAAGATCTCAGATCCAAGGCCCTCATCCCATAATGCCAGCAGACGGTACAGTCCATCAACACCTAATTACTTCCTAGTAGTTTGAACCCACAATCTTTTTTGGTTTGGTACCAGAATCAACTTCAGAAGATGTTGAAGAAAGAATGTCTGGAATTGGGAGCCTAAATATGTAGACTTTCCTTTGGGAGGTGATTGATCAGAAGAACATTTGTTATCCACAGTACTTACAAATGACAACTTTGAGGAGGAAAGGCTCTCTGACCTCATGGAAACTGTGCTGTCCACTAAAATTTCTGCTCTGATTGCTTTTTAATAAGAATTTGAGATGGAAACCAGTTAATTAAAAAGATATAGTCCTTTTAACTATCAACTGGCTGTACCTCTAACCACCCTGCACCAGACTGCACTTGCAGCTATGTCTCCACAGAACTGAATCCATGACCTGTTCTACAGTAACTTAGGGGAGACTTTAAAACAAGGGTAGGGAGTGTTTCTGAAAAATGGTCTTTTAAAACAAAGAAAATATTTTTTTAAAGAGTGATGAAATACAAGAGTATCCATAGTTTTTGCTTTTCTCTAATAAATTTATAGCCATGTAGAACATGATATAAAAATGCTAGGAACTATAAATGGGCTAAATTATTTTATTCTGCTATTATGGGGAAATCACTCTCAACAAATTTTATATCCTAATTAATATCACAAACCCCACAACACCCACAAAGACAAAAGCCATGTAAATCTATTTAGGAGGCAGAAGCAGAAAAATAGTGGTAGATAGATGACAACTTCCTCCTTCTCTTAATGCCCTAAGGAAACATATTGGTTTCCTATAGAGGGACTGACTAGCTTTCTTCTAATATGTATTAATTATTTTATTAAAGTTATGCTTAACAGAGTAATATGACTGTGTATAAAATTGTGCTGAAGATATTTCACCATTGCCAGAGGAGATGTTGGTCCTAATCAGTATCAACCCTAAGTATATATGAGCATCTTCTAGTAAAACTAAGTTAATTTTTGAAAGGAAAAAGGTACATTTAATCCTGATTCTTAAAGCTAATTTAAAGAATAAAAATCCTTTAGGTCTGAAAAGTAATACTGATTGTCAGCAAATATTGTTAATTTGGACGTGTTACATGGACTAGGAGATATTGAAAAAGGAAGAAAGAAATCTGAAGTTTCCATACCACAAATATCAATCAATATTTAGAATTTGAATGTATCAGAATTCCAAAATAATTCTTCAATCAATAGTTTCTGGTATATATCTTACCTGAGGAAAGAAGAGGCAAGAGCCTGTTGAAAGAACAACTTAATGGTACTATTTCCCATCCCCACCCAAATACCTATGTGAAGACCTATTCCTTCTTCACAGTGGTATTCAGACATCTCTGATGTACAGATTTTTGCATTCACATAACAAATTTCTCCTGGTTTTCCCCCACTATTAATCAGCTACTCCTGATTTGCTGCTATCAATCAAATATTGCATCATTAATCCATTTAGAATAAAAGTGTAATACATTTTGTAGTAAAATTTTGTTAAATCCAAAAGATCCTGTTTATCCCTGTATGATGGGAAAACACCTGCATTTTATTTTATTTTATTTTTTTAAGATTTTATTTATTTATTTGACAGAAATAGACACAGCGAGAGAGGGAACACAAGCAAGGGGAGTGGGAGAGGGAGAAGCAGGCTTCCCGCAGAGCAGGGAGCCCGATGCGGGCTCGATCCCAGGACCCTGGGATCATGACCTGAGCTGAAGGCAGACGCTTAAAGACTGAGCCACCCAGGCGCCCCAAAACACCTGCATTTTAGAGGGTCATTCTAACTAAGTCTAAGAACACCCCACTT